GAAATGTGCCTAAACATTAAAATACTAAGTGATGAATTTGACTAAGACGGACTGGAAAAGCTTCACCCATACACATTTCTTGGCTAAAACTGCCAGTCTGGTCTGCAATTGCAAGTAAACTCGATTTTTGAAAGTTCTTCAATCTCCAATAACTTGATCCTTTCTTTTTAGTGTTCCCATTCCAAGCCATAACGATAATTCAAACAAACTCTAGTTTATAGACAAAAGTAACTCTTATTTATGACGTTGTTACACCAACCTTTCCTGAATTATACTAAAATGCGTATCATTCCCCCTCTGCTCACATATAAATATTCCTGGGAATAGAACGTTACCGTAAACAAAAATCCGTCGTTGGTCTCTACGGTCGAGTCAAAACTTCCCGCAGATGAATATTGCAAAGGTACACAATGAATTTTTAACACCTTTTAACCCGCGTCGTGTAGTGAATGTTCTAAGTTTAACTAGTCGCCAAACGAAAAGGCTTATTTTACTTCAATAATATTGGCAATGATTTGTTAATTAAATATATACACTGGTGCTTCTGAGTGAAAGTTAATTTGCATTTTCAACTCAACTTTAAGGTACCGTATCTCAATCGAAGATTGGCCTTAAGGGAATCGTAGATGATTATATATATAATCCATGTACGTAATACCATGAAATACTATTGAATTGCTCGCAGTTTATCATAGCATTTCCAATTATAAATTCCCCGAAATAAACAAATAGAAGAAAACACGTGTGAAGTACACAGGCTGTCTATTATTGACAGCAGATGACAATTCGCAGTTCTAAAACTACTTGAAATTGTAACGGATTTTCCACAATGACAATCTACCGGAAACAGGAATTTAAGTGTAATTGTGTAATGTAATTGTCACCAGTAATTACAATTGCAATTACAAAGCTATTACATTGTACAAAGTGTATCACAATCATTAATATATCGTTACATATATTATATTCAGAACATTGCAAATTATTTCTAACTATCAATATCTATTGCAGTTTATGACGATACTTCCTGCAATTTTCTAATTAAATAAATAGAAACGTAAAAGCCAATATCGAGTAAAAATGTTCTGTAATGTTCGGTCAAACTTATATCAAAATGAAACCATTAGCAAATTTCCAACAGCGTCCCAGGAATGTTTGACAATAAACACAAACTTCCGCATCATATTAATAATGTTTTCGGTAGAATAGTAACTAAATATTTATGAAGTTGCAATCTGAACATATATATACCACTTATTGGGAAACGCAGCATTGTTAATCAAATTTTGAAATCGAAACTAGAAAGCTAAACTTGGAAACAAATGGTCATGGAAATGAATTCACATAAACGAAATTTTGTTGGACTTACAGCCTATCTGTCTGAGCAGTGTAATTTTCTGTCTGGTCGACATCGGCATCGGTTGAGTGAATAATCTATTTCGTCATAATAAATAGTGAATGAGTTTACATTTTAAATTACTGTTAAATATACCTTACTTTGTGATTTTTTGCGTTGCAACCAACAATAATAGACAGCGATTACTTGGTGATGGACTGAAAGAATATTCCTTATACACAAAATGGCCGTTCTGCACCAGGGTAATGCAAATATAACATAAATCAATCCAAAAATTTCTAACGAAAAATGAATTACTTATTTTTAAGGCATTACCCGGAATAAATACAAGAAATATCTTGTGCCAACGGCAATGTTCCCTTGCATATTATTGGGGTTCGTTAGTTAAGTTTTTGAGTATACAGACTGGCAAGCCCTTTGTCGTCTAGTTTTACACTGTTTCGATTTCGTCAAAGCTTTCCAATTTTTGAGGCATTCTATACGAAACCAAGTTGTTCGCGGTCTAGACCAATCAATACAGTTCACTATTCGGGAAATTTTGAATCGTATTTTGAATTGTAATAAAATAATAATAATTTACTTAAATTAAAATAACGCGTTACACTATTTTGATTTCTTTTTTTGTATGATGTGCAAAAGTATAAAAATGTTGATATCATCCACTTCTTATACTATAGTCCTCAATTTTGACTATAAAACTGATGTATTTATAGACGACGTCGTAGATATATATCTGTATCCGCTGTACTATTCTCAAGAATCAATACACCAAAGCTAAACCTAAAACGGCATTAACAAGACATTCGACACAACAGTTTATGTATATATATATATATATTTGCGTTTAATTTTACCTTATAAAAGTTCCAAAGCGTTTAATTCAGTGGTTGTCAACCTTCTCCTGTCGTGGCCCACTTTCGTTGCACAAAACTTCTGTGGCCCGAAAACTCACTCATGTGAGGGAAAAACTATCAAAAAATTCTTTCTGCAAAGACCGACACTTCAACTTTAAAAATTCCCCCTCATTTTCATAAAACAGCAGCACCATTCGTTGCTTCTGCAATCAAACCTAACTAATTTATCGATAACTCTAGCAATTCTTAATAAGCTTGTAGCCCACCGGTTGATAACCGATGGTTTAATCAGTTCTCGTGGATTAGTTGCCATCCCTAATTATTGCGCAGCAGGTATGATGCTACAGCAGTAAAACAGTACTAAATTATAATTCGTATTCAGCTATGAATCAGTCTGTGTATAAATAACGAGAAAGAATTTCATGCAATTTGGCTTATCCGAAGATAAAACAATAAAATGGTAAACGAATTTTGCATAGTTCACTTTAATCTAAAACACTTAGAGCATTTTTCTAACTCCGATTTCCTTAATATTACGAAATCAGAATAAGGCGAAGGTTCACATATGTCAACTCAGGCCCTCGATCGGTTTACGCGGTCTTCTGATATTGATATTAACGAGTATGTTAACAGGTAGTGAACAATAGACGAATTAGCCGTTTCTGTAAATATTGTAAATGGGTTTGAAGAAGCATAAATGTTAGTTTTAGGTGACATAAATTTGTTTGTTTGAATAGTTAAAATATAGTTCGTGAAATTCCAGAGGATTTCTGTAAATTCGTAGGTATGTGCTGAAGTGCTTCTCGACGGCTATTGGTAACAAATAAGGCGAATTTAATCGAAGACACTTTTTATTGAGCATTTGAATTTATTCGTTTGCTTATATATATTATTATAACTCTGAATTTGTTATAAGTGCGATTTAAGACTCGGAAAAATGTATATTTGTAGAAGCTTTCGAATCGCGCTCTACAACTCACCATATTTTAGTTTGTTATTGATTGTACCGCCGGAACGTTCGTAAATTATGTAACATGGTATTTTGAAAAAAAAACATTGTATATACTTATAATAACATTTCAAAACAATAAAACTTCAATCGTTAATGTAAAATTTTGCGACGAATGTTTATTCACCTGTCAGCATTAAAACAAATTTATCATAATCTTCAAAGAAAAAACCTTGTTTAAAGAAGAGTGTTAACAAAATGTTAGGGTTCATTAAATATTTAGTGCATTTGTTTAAAATGTTAAATTTAGGACTTGAAAACATCTGTGTATTACGCAACAATTTTTTCATGTATAGTTGTAAAAATTATGGGTTCTCCCTGAATATGTGTCCTCTACAATAGCTGTATGTGATACTGAAGTGCCACTCCGCAATCACACACAATTTTAATCAACTATTTATGTCTGTTTAGAACAGAGAACTTGGTGTGGGAGATTTTTATTATTTATATATGTCATATGTGTGGATGCATGCAGGAGGCTTTGTAATATTATATAATGAAGACCCAATAGATCTATAAGGCGAACGTACTTCTACACTGTTACATTGATGAAGTCACATCATCGTCTTGTGCGCAATCATTTCATCAGGGCTCAGAAAATGACTTTTATAGGTTTCTTCATGAAGCAACATAATGTTCAGCTATTGTCTGACTGCCATGAATCATTTAAAAACAACCGCGGAAACACATGCTCTGTAACCCAATCAAAATTGAGTGAATACCCGCTCATATATTTCACTTTCTTATTGAATTCTGATGGCGGCTTTCACGAAACTCTGCAAGTGAGCGAATTTCCGTAAATTTATTCTCGGCGCTTTTTGAGTAGTGTTAGCACAAATATGTTTGTCTTGTAAAAATTTTACAATACACTGCAAACCAAACCCAAATAAATCGGTCGTGAAAGAGGAAAAATTTATGTGAAAGTTCATCCATTTTGTTGAAGCTTGTTCTTGACGTAATTGTTTTTATACTTTCTCGAACGTTTGAATCATGTAAGTTAACATAAGCACGGATGTTGTTAAAAACAGGACAGTGAGTTATTGAGTTTTTTAAAATCCTAATCGGTAATAATCAGAGATAGAAATCAACACGAAATTTTTCTATTATTTAAATTCTCGAATTTCTTTTTTTTACTGAAGGTAACTTTTATACACATAATTCACTGGTATAGATGATACACTTACCGCTGGCACTGATTTATCTTAAGCTTTTGGTACAAATATTATTACGAATGATCTGTTTAAAAATGTGAAAGGTTCACTTCGACTGCTATAGTTATTTCAGATCACCAATCTCCGCAACCGCGTTGGATTTTTCAATATGTATTTTAAATCTGTATAATAAAGCCAAATTGATCACGATGTTATAGCATCCGATTGAAGCAAAATATGGCGTTAGGAATAAAGAAAACACGACTATATAGCGAGAATTTAATAGCCGACGTACAACTTCTAAAAATTTTGTTTGAATAACTTTGATGAATGTTTTTTTAATGAAAATTTAGTATTTGTTTTTACTTGCATTTGAAGAATATGGCAATTCCTCAGAATTCAGAAAATTAATAATTTTTTGTTTTGTTATATGTATTTGATGGGTGGAAAGCCTATAAGAATATTATCTAATGATCTGAAAATCATGGTAGTATGTAATCTGTAGGAATAGTTAAGAACTTGAATGAAAAAATGGAATATTAGCACAGTGCTACCGTTATCTAGAAAACACTATATTGAATTCCCCACTTTTATACTAGGAAAGGAAAGAAAAAGAAGATAACAGAATTCCGTAATATAGATTTAATTTGCATATTGCTTTATAATAAATTATTTCCTTTCGCAACTACAGTGAATTATGTAAGTATTACTGATATAAGGTATTCCATTAAACCAGAGGATCCGATGTTTTCAGACTGAACTGTCTGTTCACGTGATCATTCTTATTTGCGAATCTCCAATCTGGTAATCTATTGTAGTTGTATTCCCAAAAATTGATGTCGTCGTTCGTAAGCGATGACGGTGAAAACCAAAGTTGTTGGCTATGTAGCGCCCACTGACGGTCAATAGAATTTCCACAATACCGTGCCATGTTTGCAGCTTGAGTGACCTTTTCCCGCGCTTTGTTCGTTTGGCCCATCAGAAGTTGAAAATATGCTTTCAAATGAAGATATCGAGGTTGGAAGACCGGGAATTGCTTACAAAGTTTGGACAATCGCCATGCGTGTTGTCGGCATATTCGTTCAACCTAAAATAATAAACAACTAAAATAATTAGAAAAATGGTATAGTTATTTACGACGCCTTTCCCTTTGATCAAGGCTATGTACAACATTCTCTGATAGGCAGAAAGCTACCATCATTTAAATGCCTTTTTACATGGTGTTGCATACCATGGCTCTAAAATAGAAGCTGTCATTGCTATGTATGGAAGTAAAATGTCCCTTTGGAAAGCTGAAAATTTTTTGTTCGGCATAGACCACCATATTTAATTGCCTATTCTGTTCTAATAGAAGAGAAGCGCGTGAAATTGAAATTCTATACATTGGTTTTGTAAAGCAAATATATCAAAGTCCAACGCAGTAACCCTGAGGTAGGCCATTGATCTAAAGCAGGGGTCACCAAACTTTTTTGACCGCGGGCCAGGTATGACTCATACTGTGTTGAAACGGGCCGGACAAATATTTTTGTCAATGCAATACAGTAAATTCCTAAAAGTTCATTCAATTCATTCAATTTATTCAACAATATAAATTCTACATTTCTGAAGTCTTGAATATTGAATTCTATATCGCAGAATATAGTTCAAGAACATCATAGCAAAACAAATATACAATATGTCTGAGGTTAGCTGTTAACATAACAATTGCTGTCATGAATATCCGCATGTAAGCAGTACGAAAGTTATTGTAACTTGTACTATTAGCGCAAAATGCATGTTTGACGTTTGTTTTAGCACGAGAAACGTACACAACAACAGTTTCGCCGAAAGCACGCGCCACAAGTGTACGAGTGCATCCTTCGCAGAATCGCTGCGTTACGGTATAGAATTTTAGTCTATTTTATCACAGCTATTTCTAGACAATTTTTGATTACTGCGATTAAACTACAACTTCTAAAAAGAAAAAATTATGATTAACTTATTTGATTCATACCTAAATTTCTGAATCACGACCAAAAACTAACGAATAGCATTCAAAATCGCGAAAACGAGATATTATTTTAAACCACAACTGAAAATCTGGAGCGGTTGCAAAAAGGTCTATTGTTAGGTCACGTTTTGCATCTTGCTGATTGGCCAATGTTACGAAATAACCAAGAAAGTCGATGCTCGGGGAAACATCCCTTGAAAAAAAATGAGCCATTTTTTCATGTTATTGCGGGCCAGATGAAAGGCCGCCGCAGGCCGTAGTTTGGTGACCCCTGCTCTAAAGCGTACCGATAAACTGATAACACTAACAAAAATTATGAAATATTCAACAACTTTACAAGGTAACATGTACCTTTACTGTATCTGTTTGGTGTTGTCCATATTTTTCGATCAACCCACGGTACTCAATCAGACGAGCTTCAACAATACGAGTAAAAGCTCGTACGGAATGAAAATTGTCAAAAAAATCAGGAAGCGATTTTTCAGCAAGCTGTGAATAAATAATGAGAAGAAATAAAATAAAGGCAACAGAGCTAAATGTGAAATAATTTTAACCCTAGGGTTTCGGCCCTGCCATAAATGGCTGATCTGTGTCATAATTTGGGTTTATGGCTAAATTAAATGTATTTTGGGGGGTCAATAGTATTTCATAGTGGTCTGCATGTGAACAAAACCAATTTCAAAACTCAAAATGTTTGAGTTTAAATTACCCATGCTTGATCCGAGTGTTCTTAATTACGGTGATGTCATCATATTTTTTTTATGTATAATTTTTATTTTGCAACAAGGTCAATTTTATTTGTATGAGTATTTCAAAGCTTAAAAATAACCAAATAATCTATTGTTAGTTGAAAACGAAGTATTTTGAACGCGCGAGCAACGTTCTTCGGCTCATAATAAACAAACAAAGATACCAGACAGCACGCGATCAAATGCTCTTCGATAAAACGAATATCACTTCACTTACAAATCCCAGTCTTGTTTTATCTTGAAGGTGACGTATAGCTCTTCTAAAAGAGAACTCTTTCTCTCGCATATCAATCACGTGTCGACCACAGCGTTAAAAGTGAGAAACTTTTTCTCGAAATTTTTTGAATTTTCTCTCTTCTTACTGGCATATGGTCGGACGCATTTACGCTACGTAATGTGGGCGCGTTTTAGTGGGAAGCGACGAAAATAAGCTTTTCAGGGACACATTAATGGTGTCTTTGGCATTTTTGGTTGGTGAAATATTAAAAAAATTATAGAAGGGTGTCAAAATGACCCAGGAACACCAGGGGTCATTAGGTTAATACTTCTTGAAGCCACTTAATACTATCTGGGACAGGGGACAGGAATGCGTTTTAGTAACATCCAAAGAAAAGTATTACTAACTTCTTCTAAATCGGGTGTCGGAACTCAAAAGTTTCAACTGAATCACAATAAGATTCGCCAATGCCCTAGTACAGGGGTGGGCACACCGCTGCTCGCGAGCCGCATGCGGCTCGCCAGACTTTTTGTGCGGCTCTTCTCGCTAACATGAATTATTATTCAAATTTTAACTAAGAGAAAAACTTTAATGTAATTTCTTTTAATTTATTAAAAGTCGTAAAGAAGTTTTCGTCAATGATTGGGACAAATTATGTTTTAGTATGAAAATCGCTGTAGCGTTGAATTTTGAATTTAAGTCAGTCAAGTCAGCAAATCTTTCGTCACAATGGTCAATGTTTATTGATGCGTCGGCGGTATTGCAGCTTGATTGCTGTTAGTTAGTCTAAGTTACTGTGCGATATGTCCTCAATTAAAAAACAAAAGTACGAAGATGAAAACAGAGTTGTCAAGTCAGAATGGGAAGAAGAATACACATTTACCAGTCAGGAGAATAAACCTTTGTGCTCAATCTGTCATGAGCTACTAAGTCAGAATAAACTTGGCAATGTTACACGGCACCATGAAACGAATCATGAAAACTTCCCACGAGACTACCCTCGTAAATCAGCTATAAGAAAACACAAATTAAATGAGCTCAAATTGTGCATATATTTGAGTATAGCTGCCTTGTTTATCTATTTATTGTTATTAGACTCTTGTGTGAATTTCTTTTCTGTTCATGGTATTTTTATAATATTAAGAAATTCACAAATTCTGCGGCTCTTTTAAAGTTCTGACTTGCAGCATGCGGCTCTTTTACTAAACAATTGTGCCCACCCCTGCCCTAGTATCTATATAATCGAAATGTGGTTACATTACAATCGATATATTTTTTTTTATAACGACGGGCGAATATCAAGGTTGACAGCCATATAGCTGAAATGAAATTTTTGTTGTTGATATACTTGCAACAATTCACGAATAATTTTCGATACCTCATCGATATCCTACTCAAATATAGAGACAAAACATCCTAGATACAATACCCGAAGTAACAAATTTTAAATCTGAATTTCCCATCAGAGGCAACATTATTATTATATTTTTTAAATAAGCTATTAGTCGTAAAAGTGGCAGAAAATATAGTTGCCTCATTATCTACTTATCCTAGGTTAAATATGCAATAAATATTCCTTAGGATGGAATGATTCAACCACAGACCACATGCACCTCACAGAATGAAAATGCTTTCAAATCCCCACAGGAAAAAAAGACAGCTCCGCTCAAAAGCAAATGATTAACTCACCTTCAACCAAGCTCTACCGTTTACTCTTTCACGTTTTCTGTAGCACCATACTGCCATATTTGCACGTACGTACAATCTAGGTACATCACCTGTAGGGTATAGTTAGTAACATTGTGAGTATTGTTATATATTACCTAACAAGTCGAGATATTACTCAACGTTATCATATAAGTCATATAACGTGAATAACATACTAGAGTTGACATCACGATAATATCAAATTTGTGGCAGTATTCTTGTTTATAATACTCGGATCCTACGATAATATACGCGATAAAACGACTGTCCATATTTGGGCATTACAAAAGTATTTTTTAGATTATCTTCGTTATAGTTATATACAAGGAAAGATGAAGGCTGGGCCCCTTCTTTCAAATGTGAAAAAAGCACTTTCCTGTAGCATGCATAGCAATTTTTCGTATCTTGAATCCCACACTTTCACACAATAATTAATATATAAATACGAAATGTTAGTATACCTCTTCGACTTTTAAACAGCAGCAAGAATAATGCTTTACTGAGTAAATTGAAATCAAATGTTTATGATGAATGTTTCTTTTATTTTTCGTTACCATTTCAAAAAATTTTGTGATACAGATTGAGTTACAGTAAAATGCACTATGCATTTTTCGCTTTCTTATACACTGACTTGGTAGAAATTGTTACAGTTTCCGGTGGAGACTGTAAAAGCATATTTACCTATATTTAATGATTCACTGTTTTGTAAATATTCCGTACAAGAAGATGCTTTTTCGAATTGATATCCACCGTCAAGAATTAAATCCATACATGCACAATAGAAGGATGTCAAACCTGAAGCAAAAGTAATATCTCGTTATCATGACAAGATCTTTAGCGACCGCAATACAGATTTTTCATGGTTGTTCTGCATTTTCTATATGGAACCCAAATGCACAAAATCTTGCTGAATAACAATGAAAGCAGAAGGAAAATAAATGAGTTATTTGAATGATCGAACACTTCTCAGGAATCGAAGATGTCGAAAATTTACAAAATGAAAATTATATTTTGGATTTATCCATCAAACGATTTTATAAATTTCCAATGAGTAACTTTCAGTTGTTTACATTTATGTACGAAACAATTTGAAAAGTTAAACCAATCTGGCGTATTTTTAAACGAGTGGTAACCGAAAAATTAGGCAGAACATGAAGGTTATTTCTGGATGTAATGTCTAATTTGTTACACAATCAGAGCAATTAGAGCAAGAACCGAGTTCTCAAAGTAAAAATGAAGAGAAATAAATAACATTCCTGTGCCGAGAATGACGACGTTATGTGTTTCAAAAAAGAAAAATTGAATCTTGTCCGAAGTTAGTGTTTCTATTACAATTCAATAGATAAATACATTATAATGTTAATAATTCCATACTCGATTCATCATTATCTGCTGTTGAAATGTGCCTCAATAAATCTAACACTTCTTCACACGCCTGTCCTTTTCCAGTTAGTAAGTGAATCTGAGCCAACAATGGGAGAACTGAAAAAACAAGTAAAATTAGATATTGCTTCTATGATTGATCTGATCATGTCATTTATATTTTAGTGTCTAATTCGGATGAAAATATGCTTGATAACTTTTTTTCTTATCATGTAATAAGGCTCTGTATATCAGTCTCTGCAATATATTCGTTTTTCTGCTGAAAGTTATTAAACTTACCTATCAGTTTGATAGAGATATCATGGAGTATATCAGCAACACTATAAGCTCTATATCCTGATGTTGTTGCATGAACTAGTTTTCCAAAACACGAACGTATAGAACAACTTACCTAAAATAAAATAGGCATTTAATTATAAATTAATAACGTGCATTCAAACAGCAACTATCATGCCTTATAATGGATAGATTGCCACGGACTAGCAAAAATCCACACTGGCGATCCTAACATGATGCAAAAATACTTCAAGCAAAATACACAATGATAATCTCTAAGATAGTGTACGTTTATCAATGTTAATGATTAGATAATAAGCTATAAGAATGGCGCTCTGCTATAGGCAATATAAGCAAATTTGGTATTTCAACAAAACTCACTAAATGCAAATGTCCTGTGATATAGAGATCTGATGCGCTAAGTTTAGATGGTAATTCTAGGCATCTTTGAGTAGCTTTATTCTCATAGAAGGCGGATTGTTGTAGATCTCCAGTTAGTTGATGGATTTGCATCATGTAGGTGTAGGATGTTATCAATTCCTGTAAGTCGTCGTCAGCTGCTTCGGCTCTATTAACCTGAGGGACAACATTGTTGAAACATTGACAAAACGCAAAACATCTGTATCATATGAAGAATTATTTCTGTGTAACATTATACAGTGACTGGAAGATGTGATATTTTGCACGGAACATTTATTTTGAATATATCTATCCTGCCAGAGTGCCTCATTCTCCGGAATGCATTGCAAATTGAAAATCTGCAAAATATACTTGAATATTAATAACGTACCTGCATTACAGCTACCAGTTTTGCAAGTTTGACTCGATGTGATACTCTCTTTAAATTGAGAAAAATTTGCCAGAGATAGGATAAACATCGCACTTGTTCGACATATTTATTGGCTAATTTGCTGTCTGCTTTCCCAACATATCTGAAAAAATGTTCTCTTATTAAATAAAATGAAACAACACATTAAAATTGCCAGATACTACTACTGAGAAACGTTGAAAAATTGAATTCAAAGATTTATTTTTAGTGAAATATATACGTGAATTCAGCATATTTATCACTCCCACTTTCAAAATACTTCGCAAAAACTCAAAAAAACAATTTTTATTAGTTTCTTAAGTTATGACAAAAAAAATAAGAAAATGGGAACACTGAATTTACCTGTTTGGATTTTTGATGTGTAAATTCTGCTTTCTGATTTCATACCAGAGTTTAGGGTATATTACGAAAGCATTTGTTGAAAGTCCACAACGCATAATTCTTAAAGCCTGAATTTAAAATAAAACATTGAAAATCGTATAGGACGTATTTTATCCTTCCTAAATATTGAAGTAGTTGGCTAAGTATGCAGTAATCATAATATAAAAATTTCGAAAACCAATGAAGTGATCAATTTAAAATTTTTAGTAATTAAAAATGTAAGAAGACGCAAGTAGTCTATTATTTATCAAGTTTTCTAATCATTTCTTTGTTTTGCAAGAAACTTTGTTCGGGTCAGTTAAGTATTTTTTTCAAAGATTCCCCATAAAATTTCCTGACAATCTGATAAAATTACCTTCAAAAAATGCGTCAACGATTGTTCAAGTTTACCCTGTTGGAATAAAATTCTTCCCAATAAACTTTGAACTTGAGCTTTGGTATCTCTGCTTACAGATAGCACCTAGAAAACAAATTTCAGTATTTTTTAGGATTGAATGCTCAAAATTAATTCCACAATAGATGTAATTTAAATGGTCACCCTTCCAGAACACCGTATAGTATAGGAATTTATTCACTGAGTGACCATTTTCTTACAGAAAATTTAAAAGTATATGTAATATGTCATATGCCTTAAGAGACTTTATAGTTGTCTTTTTAATTGCATTGTTCTATTTATGCCTTTAATTTACGTTTTCTTATAAACTGTTATACATAAATATACATATATAAAAATTAGTTTAAACAGCTATCACTTTTAATACAAAACTCAACTAAATAAAATCATCCACTTAACGTAAGGATCAATTGATTGACACAATAAAGTCTCTCCTCTCAAAATGTTTTTTAGTTGAAAACTGGCAAGTAACCATTTTTATATAGAATGGTGATACCGATTAAATTTCTACTCACCTTGACGTCATAAATACCCCCGTCATCGTCATCTTCATTGACTTTTGCTACGATATCATTTCCTTTCCCCAGATTTTGTACAATTTCGTTTGCATCTTCCAAGAAATGAAGAGCTTCCGGAAGGAGTAAAGTAGCTATACAAGATTCCCCAGCTGAAAAAATTTCAAAACATTACTCAGGATAATTTAACCATTTTTTTACCCCTTTTATCTTTTTTCCGTTTTATTTATTAGGAATGAAAACCTTCCATATATCAAGAATATAATAAAAAACAGGATAGCTGAACACAAAGGGGGTTAGGAAGGGTGGGTAAAGCTTGGATCATATTAATGGACACTTTTTATAATTAGAGCCGTTGCAAATAGGTTATTATACCAAATACCGAGGGGCGTAGATCATGGGGCTTTATTTTTGCTTCGTTAAATATTAATAACAAATAACAATTAAGAGCCATCAAAACTCAACTCTAAGAATCAAAAAAGTATCTGAAATATTGTTATAATATTTCCAGAGTGAAACTGTGTGTGGAAGTTTCCAGGCACCACATGCATGAAACACAACATCATTCCATGCATAAAATTCATGTTAACAATGGATACATACCTTTTAATAAGTAATCGATCGTTTTTTGAGTATTTGCAGCTTTTCTCCAGTGATGTACCAGCTGGGGGTAGAGTAGTGCAAATATATCATGCATTTCATAAGGAGTCCTTGCAACCTGAATTATGTGTTAAACAAATTCAATACAACTCAGTCTCATTGAACGCGAAGTCTGGATTGTATTGAAAATTGTTGTTGTTGTTAGGGTTGGCAAAATTGCTTTTTCTTCGCGACTAAGGAACCAATCGATTTTTCAAAGACGGAATAAATTACTGCAATTCTACTACTTTTATTAGTAATATTTTTAAAATTTGTCTGATGGAGTCCTATATTTCACGCCAAATTTTTCAGGAGGACGCAATGTTCAGCTGAAGCCTAATTGGTAGAGATGTAATTTTCAGAATTCCCAATCGAAGTCATTTAAATTAGGATCGATTCGTAGCAATATCAGAAAAAAAACAGCTGAATTCTACATAAAAATTTGTTTGTATGATATTGTTTGCAAACAACAATATATGTAATAAAAAATAAATATGTAACTAAGTGTAGGTCTTTGCCAAAAAAAAATCTTCACCAACTTAATAATATATCGGGTATTTGATGCATCAATTGAATGTATTATTTTCAACTAACTTTTTTGTTTTACATTAGTCCTTTCATGTTTCATAAAATTTACCATTGCGCTTCTGTAATTTAATTCCAGTTATAATAAATACATGTACATATAATACATATTTGTTTACAAGTATTAACCGTGTTCAATTGAAATCCAGTTAACCGTTTTGCGTCGTTTTCAGTGGTTAGCAACAAACGTTCGTACGAGTTTGATAATCCAACTGATTGTGACCACAATGGACTGTAACTCATTCTTCTTCCATCGTTTCTTGACTCGCTCGATACTTCTATCAACGCCAAACCTCGTCTAGCAAGATAAAAATGATTGCTTCAATTTGGATATCGATGTGAAAAGAGTTGTTTAAAGGCGTATACCAAGAAATTGATATTTGAAGTATATTTCTACAATATAAACATAGTAATAGTCAGGGCTGGTCATTTAAAATCGAATATTCAAATCGAATCAAATAGTAAATTATTCGAATCGGCTCAAACAAAAATTTCGAATCGCCGTCATCTTGTTTTTCACTTGCATGCCAAAGGTCGAGGTGAATTTCTCAATATATTTTTATTGGAGCCATATTTTTATAATTCAATTCTGACATATGACCCTATTCTTTCTAGTGAGTTATTGATGAAACCTGTTTCCCATAGTTTGTGAACGCTCAGCAAACCCTCTGAGTGATGATTTCCATGTTTTTTGTAATTTATGTGCATGTATGACCCATCACAATAGAAATTCACATATAATTGAATATCTTTCAAGTATTTGAGATTCGATTCGAAAAAAATATTCGATTCGATTCGAAAATAATATTCGATTCGATTCTGAAATCAGGTATTCGAAAATGCCCAGCCCTAGTAATAGTACTATCATCCGATTTTCGCAAATGTGCCGTAATAACAAGGTAGTAACGAATAACTCAACCCAGAATATCTGTCCCCAAAAAAGCATTGACAGAGGTCGGAAGGAGCTTGCTGAAGGTTGGCGAACATTATATTGATACACCCAGCTACAATCATAGCTTCTATCAATCTTATAATATAAACATATACTAACTTTCTCTCCGTTGTACATGGCGATGGAGGCGGAGGGTGTGGTGTTTCGGGATCAACCCTTGATTCTGAAAAGAATTCAGGGTTAATTATACGTGATTGAACTTGAAATTGTCGATGAAAATTTTTGCAAGGAACGAGTAGCAACACGACGACTTGAATAAGTTTAACACCAGGTAACAGTAACATACTTGTTATTATAGCAGTATATGTTGCTCATAAATTAATACCGCAAAAATTGTATTCTTTCTGAAAAAAAAAAATAAATCGGAAACTTTGAAGCGAAACGTGGGAGTCTATAGAACGTGCGGTCTATTTTCGTTGCGTAAGATTTTGGTCCGAATACATACGTGCGAATATACGATGTCATGCTAATCGGAAAGCACCGACAGTAACTTACTCACCGAAGTCATGTGGCGTAATGCAACTATTGTTTACTTAGTATCAAGGAATCAGCTGAAAATAATTTTTTTACAAAATAGCATGACGCATTCAAGTAATGAATAAAGCTCTATGGCGTATACGTGCAGCCAAGCACGATGAAGCAAACCTATACAAAATATTCCCTTATGAACAAACAAAGGAAAATGAGTATTCGATACATCATGTATGAGCATCATATAGATACTCTTCCAATTACTTTGAATAAAAACAGGAATTTCATATGAAACAGGCACAAGGTGCCCGCTTATACGCACGTCCGTTATTGAAAGAAAATACCAGCTGACGATCGATTATACGCTGATGTAAAAGGATCTAATGATCAGAAATGAGTTGCTCAACTGATAATTCAACAGTTTTAAATGGATCAGCCAACTCCGAATGTTTAAGTTGGGATTATTACGCAGATATTGTTAACTGCACACTAACTTTGTATATTACATTATGTCAAGTTATCGTGTTATTCGTCAAAAAGTTATACAGAATCCGTCTCCATAATAAAATGGATATTCTTAAGTCATCGAATCTGAAATCAGTGATGAGTTTTTCATTTATTCTGGCTGGAGGTGTTGGAAGTTCCAAAATGATAATTAGTATTCTGAACTGTTCGTCTGTTAATTCGTCTTCATACGCAGCTGAACTACTTTTGACGGGATATTCATTCATGATGGTATACTTGATACTATGGCTTCGACAAACGATGTTCCACTCAGAGCCAGGATTAAAATATTTATCAGGAAAAGCATTACGTGCGTTTAGTTATTTTCAAGGAGGATTTCTCTTCATTGGTGGTGTCTCTGTCGGAATTTGGACTGCTCAAAAAGCCATATCAGATAATGTTACATCGATGAAGTGTTTGCCTCGTTGGTTTGCTGTATTAATATTATGTCTTCAAATTGAAACTCAGGTAGCAACGCTTTTATTATTCCTCATTCCGATGTTGAAGCATAAGAAAAGTTTGAAATCAAACTCTTGTCAAAATTCGTCCGAATATCTGATACAACTGATGAAAAAAGCTGCCATCCTTACTATAACAGCTACTGTATCTGACATCATTGCATATGTTGTCTTCTATCTCACAGGGTTTGGGATTGTATATAACTGTAATATTTTAATCAATATTTTATGTGTTTTATTTTGTTTTGTTGATTGGGAGGAGAGATTGTTTCCGTGGATTATGATCTTCAAAAACTCAACCGATACGCGAAGCGAATCAGGAGTTATTATTTCAGGTTACAACCTTTCCACAGATAGAACAATTTAGGCCGAGTATTATTTTTTATCAATAAGATACTACACCAATGCTATTTTGAAGCAATTCGATATCGCAGCAACTTATAAATATCAACTCAGCATAGGTTTCTGTATTGTGATACGCTTGTTATAGTTAAGTCACGACCTTCTATAATCAAGTTTCTATTTGTGACCAGAGCGCAAAGTTAGGTCATCTCCAGAGCTGCAAAGTTAACAATATTTTTATTAGTTTTGTTAATAATTTGTAATAGATTTTCTCTAAGAATTTACATTTTTATCATGTTTATTGAAGTGATATCTATGTTTTGTGTGTTTTATTTATGTATATGATTAGAATATATTCATACAATAAATATAAAATTTCATTTATCGGATAGGGTTGGTTATTATTTATTAATTGCACGACAGAACTCCAGTGGCGTTTCAGGTTTTAGGGGGAATGTGGACAATCGCAGAGAGGCGCCATTTGTTTTGAAAACAAGATTTCTTATTGGCTTGCCTTATATAGCGTACTATTTGGAAGGTACTAATGCCTACAAGATCAAGTATCCGTTAGGGCAAATATGAATGCCGCTGGTATACGTTAGCGTGAATTCGTATTTGTATTCATATGAAAGAGGCTTGAAAAAAAAATGCGTGCATTCCAAGATTGAAATTATCACACAAAAAACTCATGGCTTCAAACACGTTGATGGGAACATACGCACGCGAGAATGTGTTGTAATCATTCCAGAGAGCAGCGACTTTTTTGTAATTAAGTTTAACCTTATAAAACAATAAACGTCGATTTAAAATCGGAAATCTGAAAATTAGTCGGTGAGAATGAAAAGAAAGTCCTATATGGAACGGTAATGTCGCGGTTAAATGGTACGCCGAAAAGTGAAAATACTGAGATATAGTATGGGAATATGGCGAGAAAAACACGTGTATATAAATTTAAATTGATAGAAGGTTAAAAATAAACTAAATACGTATTATGATGAATGTAGCATCAGTCAAAAGAGTGAAACAAATATGAACATAAAATGTTTTGATATGGTGGTAAAAGAAAAACACACGAAGCATAGCAACAATGAAATTTGTAGGAGTAGGAAGCGCAAAATCGAATAGTCGTAGTGATTTTATATTCAGTAGAACGCAGAAAGAAGAGCGGCAAAAGGCAAACATACACAGACACAATACTGTGAATGTAGTGGAAGTTTCCCTGTAATATATTTCCTGGAATGAAGCCTCACAAGATTCATTATTAACCTGTATAATATTGAATTTCGTGACGTGACTTCGTATTTATCTTTTATTTTTAGTCTTGGGGAAATTTCACATGGATGTAATTCAGTGGGTCGTGCACTCGTGCTAACGTGGGAATACCATGCAATATGAGCAAAAACATTCACCATTTACAATTCAACCATTCACTTCAACTATAGAATCTATTTATGATGTTCAGCACGTTTTCCTATTATGTCATTGTCGAACGGGCGAGGGGGGATATTTCGACAACACACAATGACTTCTCAAGTTATAATTCAGCTACTTTCAATGGATTAAATGCGGCGCCGTGTTTGTAGGGTTTGGGTTTATTACGCAAGTTTTTTCCTATTTGTTGAAGTTGTGCCTCATACTCTGGCATCTTTGTAACGCAGCAAAGAGTCAGCAAGAGAAGGTGTAAAATCAGTCTATAAATATGACGTGATTTTTGCATGTTTACCGTTTTCGCCCCTATATACTAACATTAGAAAGTAAGTCCGCTTCGGTAAAACTAATTCAAAGCATTGTTGTTCTAAAGCAGGGGTCACCAACGCGTTGCCCGCGGGCACCAAGTCGCCCGCGAAGACCATATTAGTCGCCCGCAGGTCTGTTCCAAACTAAGCTTAATAAAGGCTCTTTTAAGTAAGCTACATCAATTATATTTTGTCCTGCTATTTTAGTATAAATCACACTTATATGGGAACTAGAAATGGCACTATATAAATTATTGTAACCATCAACCTTATTTTTATTTGACCTCAGTAATGTGACGGGCCAATTATGACATCACACTGACATCACTTTTCCTGTCCGTTGGTTAGCAGTAATAATACAATTATTGATTCCAAAGAAAAATCCATCATTTTCACGATGAATGGGAGGTGGATATATTTATACCACCATGAAAACAGCCTGCGTGTGTCTCATTAGTGGGGCGATTTTAGCGACGGCAAAGCGGAGAGATATTTCACATCTTGTCACGTAATCTTTCGCGCTAACTACCCACTGGTCAGCACAGTACGGACAGAAAAAATCTAGCGATTCAAATCATACAGTAATCCTATTTTACGAGACCATCGTTTGTTTCAACCTATCCTTTCGAATCAACATTTTTGACATAAATTCAGGATAGGAGATTTACATATTTATCCCGGGGGAGAAGATAGCCGATAGGACGGCTTAACCATATGATAAACCACGGCTTCTCGCCGGTTACCATTCGATGTCGGGTATGGAATTAGTTAGTTATTTGTTTCCGGAAGCCTGAACTTGATGGCGAAGGAAGCCTTAACCGACCAGCGGTTACGTGAACCACCCTACGGCGGCGAGGAGTCCAGCAATCCTTTTGCACATAACAATCCCCGCATGGGATTCTAACCTGCGAACCTAACGCTTAACACGATGGGCCATAGCGCCGCGACTCACTCCACCAAGAACAAACATGGAACACGCCTCACTGATGAAAATATGCAAGACTCCATCAGAGTTACAGTGTCAAGTTACACGTCGGAGTATAATACTCTGCAACATTCGATAGTACAACTGTTAAGTCCATTTTATCTTAGACTTGTGCAGAGTGTTGAAAATCAATTTGAAAACACTCAGTTTTGAAATACAAGTGTAATTGATAGAAATTTATTTGCAACGTTGTGATAATCGTTTGATTTCCTGAAGAATCCTAAAGTTTATTAGTGTCTATACTAACACTACACTAAATACCAGTAATTATATCAATATTTGAAGCTTAATCGAGCAACTGATTTTTTTAGAAGTGTACATTGAACTGGTAGCCCGCAGCTTAATCTGTACCCAAAAAGTAGCCCTCGGCTTCGAAAAGGTTGGTGACCCCTGTTCTAAAGGAATTCATGGTTAATTAAGGCTTTCCGCAAATTAAATAGCACCTACAAAACGTGGGAGATTGCACAACATAATTCGCTTGAAAATAGTGCTTAGTTGATTTTTGTTGCGCTAATTAGCATTTAAGTAACTGATAAGTAGGAATGCGTATGCTTGCTGACTGGTAAGCCTATTGTTTAGTTAGTATCGAAGATTCAGCAGAATATGAATTTTTCACAAAATAGCATGACACATTCAAGAAAGGGATAGAAGCTCCTCGGCGTATATG